TTTTTATTTTTAGAAAATAAAAACAAATACTGAAGAAGTATTCAGGCACTTAAGGGATTGCAGGAGACGCGACACTACACCCATACACCCAATTTAGTAGATGGCAATTCGTGGTATTGTGACGCTCGATTCAAGCAGCGATCGCACACTGCATGTACAGTTTTTTTTTCGAAAGATAACTCCCTGAACAGTGGGAGAAATGGAAGCAGAGTCGTGGGCCCCACCGCTACTTTAGAGGATGTTCTGTTTCGCTTCAAACATTAAACATCAGCAGCACCGCCTTCTTTGGGGGGAGTCGTCCGAACATCTGGTCTTTATGTTTCCCCAAAATGTTCAACACGAGTTCAATCCATCAGCAAGTCGTTCCATCAATTTACAACGAATTTGTCCAAAATGCCATTAAATTATTTAAGACACCCGAAACACATTCACATCTGAAGTGAGAGTAGACCAAAAAGCAAAAGAAATCTCCGAGATGGGGGCCACACAGCAGCAGCAGCAGCCGAAACATTCGAGTAAACAAAACCGCCGCCAATTTATGACACTCCACAGAACAAACAAAAAAAAACGGAGAAAAAAGCAGAGAACCCCCAAACTAATTGCATTTCCTGTCGTCAGTGGAGGCGGGGAGCAAAACGCATAAATTAACAGAAAAAAAAAAAAACACAACTTCCGATCGGCAATAGAATACAGCATAACATGGAATAAAACGGAACAAATGAAGCGTACGAGGAGCATACAATGGAAATGGCAGGGGCATGGTTCGAGGTGGGGGACAGGGTAGGGTTGTCAAAGGGTCCAACTTGAATTTCATTTATCCCATTTATACTGTACAGGAGGGGTAGTGGGGGTACTGGAGAGTTCTATTTGGAACAAATTCCATTCTTTTCGAGAGTAGAGTGGAGGAGCCGTCAAAGCGTAGCGAAACTGCAGTTCCCATTCCCTCACTGACCGTCAGTCAGTGGTGTAGTCAGGGGGGAAACCACGGGGGTTTGGGTTTGGCTTCCCCAGAAGTGAGTGTTGGGTCCGGTTGATTTTGGAGATGAGATTAACCAGAAACTGTCCCATTTGAAATCTTCTAAACCCCCTTCCGCGGATAATTCTGCCTACGCTCCAGCACAGAATCGTCAACTCCTCTGGACTCCATCGCGTGAGGGGACGGGACTCGAGGAGGGGAGGGAATGTTAATTAGTTCTGCTGGCTGCTGGCTGCTGTGGCTTGTTTATGCTGCTGCTGTCAGTTGCCTGTTGTCTGCAGTTTATGTTCCCTAATTTTTATGCCCAGTGTAATTAAATTCCTGGACACTGCAGTGTGGAACCTCTGGCAGCTGGCCTCCTCCTTCGCAGCAATAAAAAGAAAGTCGAAAGTCTCAGGAAAACTCCATCAAACATACATTATTTTATGGCCCTGGCGACATGGCTAATCAACGACATGGCATCCAGGAAGCCCTTAAGGGGATGCTTTTCCAGTTAAAAATCCATAAAGTGGAATATCATTTCGAGTTAGAAGCTAGAAAGTCGCTGAAGCGTACCAAACTCAGAATTTTGCATAAATTACAACTATTAGTTGGGGGAGTGCGAGGGAGATTCATTAAGATCTGGTTATGCGCTTACTCAACCGCATCCCACGATGGCGGGAGGAGGGGACTGTTGACTTTTCGTCTTTATGGCAGTATTTAATATATAAACATCACTTTGTGGCATTCAACAATAAGTATTGTAGTTATTGCAAGTACTTATGATTTTCCTTATGTAGTTTTCCATTTAGTACGCAAACATATCCGCAGTATAATTTTCAATCGCTACGAATCGGACGCCACCACTTGCCACCGCGCAAGACCTTCGAATGCAATTGCAACGTCACTTTTTCAACTATTAGCTAACAATTGCAAATCTCTCTGTCTTCCTCTCTCTTTCTGTATCTTCTGCTCTGCGATTACCTAATCTCGGGTCGGTCCCTCCCATCTGTTCTATATAGAATTACGCGTGCCACAGATCCACAGCAGACGTAACGTACGAGTACGAGTATTTCGTATTTCGTAATCTTCTGACAATAGACCCAGCCATCAGTGGGGCGGTGGGTTGGGAGGAGATTGAGTAGTACTGTTGGTCCGCCTTCTGCCTTCTATCTTCTATCTTTTGTTCAGTGTGTCAGTCTAAATATACAATATATTCGCCCGTTCCTTCATTGTTTCGTTGCATTTCAATTGTAAATTTCATTAGAGCATTACAATCTCAAGAGATCTATGCCAATTGATCAAGTGTTGGCGTTGGCGTTGTCGCTGTCACTGTCGTTGGTGCAACCAGTGCCTCAAACAAACGTCGAACTCTTTGAGTAATGTGTCTATGGGGGGGAGATGGTCCCATGTGGATTTAGATCAACTTGTGGGAATAAAACTGAATAGAGTGAATCCATTTCGATCCATTCCGATCCATCCTATCCCTCATGATCTTTACAGCTTCCACGAGTACCCACACACACATAACCCCCACAGAAATGAAGATAGTTTCCATGTGGATATCTTTAGCTTAATTGTTGCTACGTGTATTTTTAGATAAATGTTTGCTGTCTTGAAGATAATTGTTGCTTATTTGCCTGCCTGCCTGCCTGACTGCTCGACTGCCTGCCTGCTCGTTTGACCGATTCTCTGAAGCACACGGCCGTTCCGTTGTATAATGTCAATTACTTGTGATTTACGACAGTTTAATGATAGACGGCGATGCCTTTAGGTTGATTTGACTGTCTTCTGGCATGCATGCGTTGTGCGGGATCTCGATGTCGGGGAGCACTGCATTCACATAATAGTCGGCACATGATGCGGACTTCGCATGTGATGGATGTGATATTTGAAGCTCAATGTTCTCGGGCCCACTCTTGCATGTAATTGGCTCATAAAACTTTTCCAATTTGCCAAACCAAAGAGGAGGGCATATCCTCTTCTACTAATTCAGAAAAGGGCAGATGAACATCGATTCTCAAGAACTATGCTCATTAACTGCCAGTCAAAGTGCCTGTGTGTGACGTAACCTGAACCTGAACCTCAACTTTCAACTTTTAGGTAGATATGGTCCATAATTTGATTATTCATGAGAGAGGTCCAAAAGTGCAGGTGTTTGGAGTTGGTGGCTCTTTCGGGCGCACTAAATAACAATTAGCTATAAAAGGAAAAATGAGTTCGGTGGCTTTTTCTTCTTTCTTCTTTGTTTTACTCGAGTTTTCTTTTTGTGTTTTTTACCCTTGGGCTGAGAGCTAAGCCAAGCCATTCATTTGGATAACGAGTTTTTGAACTGGTGAAGAGGTGCGAGACATGAATGGATAGGTCAAGTCGATAAATAATCGAAAAAGTTTAGTTGCTAATCAAGTGGAAAATTAAATGCCATTTTGTGGAATAGGAAATTAAAAGAGTAAGGCTCTCATATCGAGTTATCGAAAATTAAAAAATCGATAGCATTAATATCGATTAGACATGCGTAAAAAACATAGACGTTTCAAAGAAAATAGGTAAAACACTATTTATGAGAACAGGATAAAATCGATTAATAATCGATATTCTTTCGATTTATATATTTGTTATATATATGTATATATATTTGTCATTTTATTTGGTAAAATAAATCTGATGCTTTTACCAAAGATGAACCGATTCTTTGCCAACAATTCTTCAGTTTTCGCCCATTGTGCGAGATTTAAAGCTCCATTTTTTTAGATCACAACAGAATGAGTAACCCAACAGGTTCTGCTTTAAATGCCTGCATGATATTCCCACTCTTCTGTGTGTCTTTCTTGTCTAAGCTGAGACACCGACACCGCCACCGCCACCGAAAGAGCGAACAAACCACCGAATGACTACCGAAAGGGAAACGAACTCATTGAAATTCTTGACAGGTTAGGCCCGCGAATTGTGTGGAATAACAAAAGAAATACATAAAATAGAGATAGAATAGATAGGAAAGAGAGGCGAAGAAAGACGTCAGTTGTTCCCTGTTTTGGGATGAGTTCTGGGGGGTAGGCAGACCACATGTGGCGAGTTCTACGTTGAGCCCCTACGCTGCCACACTTCCAGGGCTTTCCCTCTTTTCCATTTAAGACGGCGCCAAGCGGAAAAACTCGCTAAACCAAGTTCATTTCCAACTGCCCTCACAGTGGGCGACTAATAATCACAGGCGAGAAAAGGCTTTAAGAAGCAACGGAGGACAAGGACCTGCAACAAAGGCAAGGGCTCAATGGCAGCGGCCATAGAAGCAAGCGAGTACGAGTATCTACAGTTAGGAGACAATAAGGTTGACACATATTGGAGTGCATCCATTGTTTATCGCATACAGGAAGCCGGGAACTCGTCTCGTCTCGGGGTTATTACACTCCCCAGCAGACAGCTTCTGTCAGGGAGGGCACTGATTTGTAATTGTTTCCACTTCAATCTGCAATCTGTTTGGTTTTATTTGTTTTCTCGTGCATTTAGCATTTATCAAGCCGCAAAGTTTATGTCTGATTAGAGAGTCGCGTCGCGTTGTCGCTGCGGCGGTGCCACTGCTGTGCAAGTGGGTCACAGAGCTGTTGTTGACTCAAAAGCGGCACTATACAGAGTCTCTGTTCGAGGCACATATTGATAAGTTTCTGTTTCGTTTCTGTTGCAGTTGCATTATGCATTTGCCGAACGATTGAGTGTTGGCGGATGGTTTTGTGAAAGAATTTACGATAGCTGTGGGTGCGGCGGCGGCCACTATCAATCAGTAGTTTTGGGTTAGAAAAATGTAGGTTAGTGGCGCACTTCAGGTGATATATTCCCCGATAAAGTTCGCTTCGAATGGGGCTAACAGACAAATCTCTGAGCAGCTATCCGTCCAATGACCTGTGGCTGCTGGTCATTGCTGGTCATTTCGAAACACGCTCTTGCATAAGAACACTTATCCGGAATTCGATACGCCCCGCAACCAAAGTCAATTAATTATTTTGTTCGATGTTACCTTTCAGGTGGCAACATGAGACGGAGCTCGACTCACCTTTTCCAAAACAGAAATGTTTACGCAACTCTTGGGACGTCTGCAAAGACCAGAGACAATGGTTAGATAAATGCCAGACAGTACTCGTTTACGTACATATAAAACTCGTAATAATTATTAATTATCAATTATTGCCAGGGAGACAGACACAACTTGTTCTGGGGGCAGGAAGGCTATTAAAATTAATCAAAGTCGTTGCATTACAACCCATAGCCATGTAGGAGCTAATAAATTGTGGTACTTATTGTACCTGAACCACATAAATACTCGCAAACAGCCGCGGAACTCCCACTACCCTACCCTACCCAGCAGAACCAGAACCAGAACTTGTCAACTGTAACGCAGACAATCAACCAAAAATGCATAAATTAATAAGAGAAAATGTTGCAAAGCAAAGCAAAGCAAAGTAAAGTAAAGCAAAAGTAACAAGCTGTAATGATATCCAAATGCGATGACGGGCACAACAACTGAACGAACGTCAGGGTTAGTCCACAAGAGGGGGATGGTGGTGGTGTGCGCACATGTGCGTCGAGAGAGGGAGCCCAGAGACAGGGCCAGGGAAGACTTTTGTCTGCTGCACGCAGCTAATTTCATGCCCAGTGGCGCAGTACCTCTCATAATTGATAGTCCCTGCCCTGAAGTGGTTACACGATATGACAACAAAGCAAACTAAAGCCGACTCTGTCCAAGGACAAAGGAATAATCACGAAGAGGCAGGAGCAAGAACCAAGAACAAAGTTTGAAAACTTCTACCAATTAACTTTGAAACTGCAAACGCGAACATTAGAGAAGGTTAACACGACATGGGTTGGTGGCTCTGTCGGACCGCGAGATTATGCTCAATGTACTGCGAAATTATTCTCAGTGTATGATATTCGGTTCTGCTTTTGGGCTCCGTTCATTTGCTGGCCGTTCTTTGTGTCATTTGCCTATTTCATTGTTGTGGCTGCACTTGCTTCGGTAAGAGAGTGCTTAAGTCAGAGACTCGCCTCAGAGAGGATCGAAGGAGCGAAGCGATAAGTGCGCCAAGGTGCTCCTGAGTGCGAGTGAGAGTGCAAAATCAAGTAGAAAGGAGGTGTCAAGGGATAAATTGATGAGAACCTATCAGATGATAATCTAAACCGGACAAATACCCTGGGAAATCCAAATAAAATCAAAACCTGAGTAGTAAATCATTCTTCATTGACACATTTAGTTTGGTTGAAAAACCCGTCTTAAGTTATATCTTTATGGCGAATATAAAACAATCTATGGGCTAGTTTATACACTTTCATGATGCCTGAGTACATTTTTAATAGCCGGAATTTTTTATGGAAAAACCAAACCAGGAATACCTTGATAAAATACCCAATATGCATCATAGTTTACCCTTTCATTTGTTCTCTCTTTGTGCAGAACACACCCAAAGCCCACTCCCATCAAGATATCTATTTTATGGACTCCATAACAATTTCTTGCGCATTATCACTCCCCTACCCACACGCCTTCCTTGGTACCTATAACCATCCGTATCCTCAAGTTCATTAGCACCCATAGACTCGTAGAGGGGTCTACCCTTATTCAACTACTCGAAATGCTCTGGTAGTTACTACAACAAATTGCCAATCAACATTCAGTCTTTGTCGTTTGTCGTCTGTGACGTTGTAGTTGTCCTCGTCCTAGTCGTAGTCGTTCGTTGGCCCCACCCAGGCGGGGGCATAACCTCTGGTCCCTGTCTCCTTGCGTCCCTGGTGTAACAGCTGATGACACGCACTTTGCGTGTTTATTTAATAAATAAAAATTTGCATAAATTTGCCAATGTGCGCGGCACAAATTGAAGAAACTCTCTTCAGCTCTGTTGATATTTCCTCCCGCTCTGCCGCCCAGCAGAATCTGCGCTTGAGAGGCGTTGAGGCGCTATGTAGAGTGGAAATGCAAACAAATTTATTCAGCCATTTGTTACGGTGGCCCTGGAAAAGGGATTCGTTGTGGCAGAAAATAAAAGGGATTATAAATTGCGATAAATGGAAAATTTTGTCATCCTTTGTGTAATAGTCAACGTCTTCTACTTGAACTACTCATTCTCCAGGCATTCTCCAAAGTACATAATGTGGAATTATCCATTATCTCAGCTTAGTGTAGAGCACTTCCCACAAAATCTAAGCTGTTCTCGAGCACTCCCCGAAAGCACGCGGCAGTTGCCTTGAACCTAATCCTCAGTCCAATCCACAGCCCAGCCTTATGTCAGACACTCATCATGTAAGCCATCCATCCATCCATCCATCCATCCATCCATTCCACTGTTTTGCATCATAACTCTGGCAAACTAATAACCCAACATCAGATTTCTGGGCGCCCCGCTAAAGTGTAACTAATATGCGAGCGGAGCACCCGAGAGAGCTGGTGGAGTGCCTTTTGATTAATGGATGCCGCTACTGTTTTGGAGGGGCAGCAGCCGTAGGGAGAGGAGATTAACAAAAGCATAGAAATTTATGCGCGTTTTGATTCGAGACGCACGACGATCGGATAGCATCGAATAGCATCGAATAGCATGAGATGGGATCGGATGGGATCGGATGGGATCGGATAGCATCGAAATAAGAGTCACAGAGCTAGAGGCGCCAAGTACGAAATTATAGAAGTCGCGATCTTCGGCTCTCGGGGCTCGGTGTGGGCTTTCGCATGGCTATGGAGTTAATCGACTTTAAGTGATTGGTCAGCGGTCTATTGGCTTCAACATTGAGCATATCATTTATCTTTTCTCGATATCTAAACATAGAACCAGAACAAAGCGGGTTGGTTTCCTTCTCTGCCTCTCCTACTCCATTCTCTCCGACCAGTCGCCAGCAATTAGCGGCAATCATTTTTCATTTGTCAGCCATAACATACACCGAACACACACATCTGTATCAGTATCTGTGTCTGTGTCTGTGTCTGCGTCTTATGTGCAACTGGTTATCCGCGTTCATTATCCGCGACTCTCAATGTCAGCTCTCGGTCCGAACTTCGAGCCACTTCCCAAGTTTCAGTTCTGCTTTTTTGGGGCCGATTCTCAGTGCATTCTCGTACTACAAGTAATAATTTGCGTTTGTCCGCTTGTGAAATATTCGTTATTATAAAAAAAGGGGCGAGGGGACATAATTATGCCAAATATTCAAATAAATTATCAAGCAGAACAAAAACGACTGCGGAGTGCAGCGTCGAACAGCTGCACAGTAGCCGCGACTTTCAGGCTTTTGTTGTTCGCATTGTTGCACAAAAGTTTTACATGATAATAAATTTGTGTGTTCTATTGCCAGAGAGAAAGAGGGAGATAGATAGAGAGAGAGAGAGAGATAGAGGGCGTATGTATCTGTATCTATGTGCTGCTTCTGGAGGGGGCTTGAGATTCTTTTGTTTGGATGCTTTGGCTTACAACAGAGTTAGACTGCACATTGCGGAGGGTGTTCCAGTGCCTGTCAACCCAAACAAAAGCGAACAGTGTATGTAAGTAGTAATGGATATAAATTGGATTCTATCAAAGGAATGGCAAAGCCTTAGAAAGATGCATTTCTTTCAGTTTTTAGTCAGTTTTATACACTACCTCTCTCGCAGTGTGGCTTAGCAGTCGAGAGTGAGGTGTACGCGAAGACAGCGCAGCAACTGTCTTGCTTTTATCTATCTATACAAATATTAATATCTCAACTTTGGAAAAGTTAACAAGTAGCTCAGATTAAATGAATGAATATAGTCTTAAGAGGCTTAAGGGAAGCTCTCTTTTATGAAAACACCATGTTAACTTTTCTAATTATTTCTCATGTGCATAACAAACCCAAAACAAACCCGTCTAAAGATGTTCAACCCATCGCCATTTCCGCACAATATCTTTTGCCTTCAAGCCTGGGGCATAAGCGTAGATAATTATGCATATTCATTATGGACATTAGCCATAATGCTGGGTGAATGGAATAGTTTGCTCTTGCCGTGTCTATCCTTCGATTTCCCCATTTGCGGCCAGGCATTTTCCGAGTGTGACCAAAAGAAAATGCAACGCGTTTGAATGCAAATGCCAGCCTTGAGATGGGAATTGTGGACTGGGAGACTTGGCGACTGGGGAATTGTTGTCTTGGCACTAATTTAATATGCAAAGTATAGCCATAAGTACGGCTGCAACTACGATTAATCAGTGCTATACTTGTGATATATCTTAAAGCAAACTTGTGCGGAAGTTTCACTTTATTTAACACTCCGCTTGGCGGAGAGCGGAGGGTGTGGTCCACTGTCACAGCTCTGAGATATCCACGCCATATTGCAGCCATGTTCCTACCTTTCGCAAACCTCACTCTGTGGTCCTGCTTTTTGTAGATTGCCGACCAGCTGACATATCAAATATTTAATCATCGCATGCTGTTTTTTCTACCTTAAAATGATTATTCTTTTGCGGTTTGTTTTGTGAGTCTGCGGGCACTTCTCGTGTGCAATAACCTTGCCAGAGCAAAAGCTCAACAAACTTGACATGGCAGCCTTTTACATACGACCAAAAATACATACATATGCATGTATCTCCCTCCACATCATACAAAAACGGAGCGCAACATCTTAGATAAGTCGAAACTGACGGCTTTTTTTGGGCAGTCTTCGCGTCAGGCATTAAAAGTGGCTCATTGAATGCGCTGTTTTGGCTTGGCTTGTTTTATGTATCGTATACTCGCACATGTCGTATATATCGCATATACATATCGTATATAGTATGTGCAAATGTACTTTATGATGTTTACATTTCACTTTGTTTGCTCGCTTGTGATTTATTTCACTTCCTTCCTTCCCCGCAGCCCAAGGCTGAGGCTGAGGTCGACTTTCACGCATCATGACGGCACGGCGTCTCCAGTTGGAATCACTTCCCCTCCATTCGCAGCTCTGTAATATTTTGTAATTGGAAATCGATTTCGATTTGCGATTCGCGATGTTTGTGCAAGTGGCGGAGCAGCAGCAAGGTTGTCTGTCCGTCCACTCATCGGGTGGTTTTTCAGCTTTGTTTTCTACCACAAAAGTATCTTATCGCGCAGGGGTATCAACTGACACAAACGGGAAATTTCAAAATGTTGGCAAAGGTTGCAGATAATTTAGAGTCTCTCAGTGCGATTCTCAGGGAATGGATTTCAGATTGGAGCAAAAGTCTGGGTTGAGGCATTGGATTCGCCTCATCATGCACATGACATGTATTGCATTTTTGTATTCTTGGGACCGAAACTATGTCCCAGTCTCGAGTCGAGCTGCAATTTTCCTGGTCATGCACAAGACATGTATTTTGTTTTTTTATTATCTTTTCGCTTGTACGTATGGCTTCACTCGGATGTGGAAGAATAAATCTCGGAGTAATGTGAGCAGTTGCCCACCTCTGGATCAGAGAATGATTAGATGCGATGCTAAGATTGCTCAAGTGGAGAATCTTGTAGGCTGCAAGAGCCATTTAATGTAGCGTATTTTTTAGGGTTTTTTACAATTTGAATGTTTAAACACTTATTATTATTCCTGCGAACTTACATTTGTTCCATCTTGCAACACTTTATGGAAATTGTATAAAACACTTCCAACAAATAGATTTCCGCTTCAGTGGACAGCACGCTTATCAAAGCGACACCCAATGAAACACTGCCCTGTGTGATATCCAGAAATAGTCGCAGTAGAAAAGCATTTACAAAGCTGTGATTCAACCTCCTCCAAGGGTGCTATCATCCGAGAACCGAGAGAACCGCAGTTCCCTAACTGCGACGCAGTCGAATAAACCAGCGAAATGCGTCTCTAATTTAATATTCCTACGGATTATTCATAAACATTTGAATGACTGAGATGAATGAGTGTAGAAGGGGACTGAATTTTCACTTGTTATTCAATTCGAAAGCTGTTTGCATTTCATTATGGAGTGCATCTTAATGGGTTGCTCAGGAATTTGCATAAAGAATGTGGATACGCACCAGAAACATTTAGAAATTCCATTGGAATGGTAAACAAATTGGAATTCTCTACTGAATCATTAGGTCTACGATAGAACACTCAAGGCAGAAACTTACCTAGAAATCCTTGATGTTTAAGAGCTCTAGTTTCTTCGATTTGTTTTGATAACAAACGTACAGATCTCTGCAATGAAATAAATTGATAAAAAATATAATTAGAGCTGTCAAATGTTGAGACCTCCTTCCATTTATCGATAATTCCATCGATAGTTTAACAGAGCGAGCCACTTGATATTACAAAATCAATCAAATCGAAATCTCTATTAATTCCTCTCGAAGTAGTAGCCTCAATATTTGACCCACATTTCAAACCACCCACAAGATGACCCATTTCCCACATTACGAACCGCTCCATCTTATCTGTAATTTACACAATTTACGCGGTATTGTCCCTCATCTAGCCGAAAGTAAACAACAGCCGAAGGAATCCTAACATTCAGAGCGTAAATATCGGTCGAATTTCCACATTCTCGCACTCTGGATCCATCTCCTTATCGCGGTGCGTGTCTGCAACAGCGTAAATAAAATAATATTCCACTGATAAGCCACCCAACATTCCTAATCAGCAATTTGGGGGCGTCTGTGAGTCAGTGCCTGATGATAAAATGGTGGGAATCCAGTAAGGTCTTGTCCATAAAAGTGCTTTATTTTCGGATACATTTTTGTGTGCGGAATGAGTTTGATTTGAGCTATATTTATCTACAATAAATCACGTTGATTAGGAAACTATGTTGTAGAACATAGCAGATATTTAATTCTAAGCAACACTGCGAGAGAATAAAGCAAGGAAGAGAAAACCTAGGGGTCCTGCATGTGGCATTGAGCAGAAAGAATTCTGAAGTGCAGAAATGATTTTATTTGCCTTCAGTATTACGAGTATGCTGATATATTCCTATCATAACATTCGATCCATTCACAATGCCTCAATATGAACTGATATCTTAGAGATGATGTATCCGTCGAATAAACACTTCTTCTCACATATTTCATCTTTTGAACATTCAAATCGATTCATAAATTCAGCGAAAACAAAAGCTAATGACAAAGCGATATATTAAGAGATTAACTGCAGATATGGCCCCTCCTTATGCGTCGCAGAAATCGAAAGGTTCGCAGGTCTTGGGATCGTGTTTTCTTAGCCGTGAATCACGTCCCAGATGCAATAAATACATTTTGCTTTGTTTCGTTTAATAATTTGCATGGTTGGGCAATTTTTCACTGAGTATCGAATGGGGGCTTCCTGGGTTTCTTCGTTTCCGCGAACAATCCCCCGAAAACGGGGCTCTAGCCATTTAATTTATGATCTCCTGAAAGTATTTATGCTTTTCCTCAGTTTAATATACTTTTAAATTGCATAAAACAATTAAGACTCTTTTGGTTTCCACTCGTCAAGTAAACAGACAGCAGGCAAAAGAAAATCACAAAATGTTGGCAAGTGAAAGCGTCAGAGAAATAAAAAAAATAAAAAAACTTTAATGCTGTTCTGCTGGTCAAACATTTTGCAGCTGTTTCGTAGCTTTTATTGATTCCCGAATGGTTTTTTGGAGACTTAAGTGGGCCACGAAAACAAATTCAATGTTTGTGGAGCATCAAAATAATAATAATAATAAAACCATCGGCATCCATCGTAGACGTAACCAAAGACACTTTTTAAAGTAGCCTGGATCATTAAATTAATATTATTATTGGGGATTTCAATTAGTTGCCGTCACACCCGCACTTCGCCCCCCACCTCACCACCTTTTCCCATAAATATCTGTTACGAAGCAGTTCTCAAATCCAATTGACACTATTGACAATGCCCGAATCAGAGCGTGGACGGGAAAACAATGTGTGCTAGACGGAAAATCCAATTAGGAGCGACCCCCACAATGCCCCTAGAAGAGGCGGCTATTCGACTTATCTGCAGCCCCACAGGCGGCATGGCACCAAACCAAAAGCTGGCGAAAATCTCCTTCATCCTGAGAGCAAGAGCCACAAAAAAGATTGCTATGTGCAGCTGCTAATTTAACTGAGAGACAGACAGACGGCCGAGACGACAGCGAAATATGATTAACCGCACGAGTAACGAGCCAACGGGCCAGCGAAAGATACAAAATGGGTGTTGCAACCCGGCAATCCGCGTATCCAAGTGTGCAACTGTCAGATGCAAGCCGAGGCCTAAGCCAGGCTGCCGTTGCATGATTTTCCACTCATAATGAAACCGAAAGCAGACAACGGCACCACCACAGCGAAATCTACGAGTATTCAACAGTTTTGGCGTAAATTAACGTAAATACTCGAAAACAGTTACCCCAAACAGTCCCAGCACCAGCCACAGCCCCAGCCAGACACCCGAATGGAGAGTGGAGATAGGTCCAATGGTCCACCCGTCCGAGCGCACCTTGATTTACCTGCACAGCGCACAGTAGTCAGGCATGCGCTGATCTCAGTCTTCATCTGAGGCTCAGGCTCACAGCCAATCCCCCAAATCTGTGCAACACGATCATTATGAGGCATATGGGACAGCACCTAAACGGTTATGGTTATGGCCTATGGCTATGCCACTGGGGTATCTATAAGGCTTCCTTAGGTGTTTCCTATACGAATTTCACAAAGATGGAGATTGATCTTTATGGAGGATGAGAAGTATAAGTTACTTTGAAAAAAAAACTCCCGTTTTCTGGCATAAATATTTATTATTTCCCTTTAAAAATATTATCAATAATATTTTTATGATCTTTCAGAGTGAACTAATTTAGCGTGTCGATAGACGGTAACGTGAACGTCAGATGGAACAGATTTTAGCTAAATCAGATGTCTATTATTCATTGAATCGTCTCTCTGCTCATGAGAGGAAGTACCTTTAACGTTTTGCAACCCATCTCTTGCATAATTGTGGCTGAAAAATGCCTGAAAGCTACCATGCTTACCATATAAAAAATATATAACATACGGAGTGGTTGGATGCTCATTAGTCGAGTATTTGATTCCTCATTACTGACCGACCAGCAAACCCGAAAGAAAAAAAGATTGCCGAAAAGAGTTTCGAAACACATTATCAGCAAATAAAAGTGTAATATTTTGTGTAATTATTTTATAGTTTGAATTTCTCTTCCACTCCAGTCCAGACCTCCACTCCACTCTTCGCCCACTCTCCACCCACTTCGACGCCTTTCGATCGGTGGCGGGGGCGGTGCGGGGCCTACTTTTTACATCATTTATTATGTGGGCAATCGAATAATGGACCTACGCTTCGACCTGAGGACAGGAGGGGGAGCAGGAGGAGGAGGAGGCGGCATGTGTTGCATGTGGCTGGTGTGGCACGCTCCGTTGAGTGCTCCCTGCGTTTGTCGAATCACTCGGCTGCAACCGAATATTAAAATGCTGGCCCAAGCAGCCATAGATATTCGCACACAGCATAGCATTCTTCTTGCAGATACCTTTGTATCTGGCCGTGGGCGTTGCGCTTGCGCCCCCTCTGCCCATTCCACTCACACTGCGAGTGAGTGTCAAGAACTTGTCTTGGCCATAAAGAGAAACCGGCAGAAATGTGCACCAAATGCAGCAGACAGTCAAACATTTTGATTTGAGAGTTTTTTTTTAACCAGTTTCCACCACCGCCTGCCGCCGACAGTGGCAGGTCCACTTGCAAGTCTTTTTATGGCAACCTGCAGAATGAGTAGTAATCTCAGAGGCCACCAGAGAAAGAGAGAGAGAGAGAAGGAGAGATCATGGACAATGCATCCATGAGATACTCTTGAAGACAAAGTCAATAAACTCTTGATCGTCAGGGGTTAGGGTTAGCCATCCCACAATCAAAACAGGTCCAAACAAGTTTAATTTATAACTGATTCTGTTCCATACTGTTCCGAGAGATAACTAACCCTCACAATGCCACAAACTGCAAGTAAAGTAAGTTCTAAAACAAGAAGTGCAACAAAATACGCGAGAGACCAGAGAGAGAGAGAGAGAGAGGGAGAGAGGAATCGCCTATGAACCTGGCAACCGGTTTCCTCCTCTACGACAAACAAATATCAACCTCTCAGGCCATAAACCAAACAAGTCTCAAAGGGCAGTCAGCAGAGAGATACTCGCACTCGCACTCGCACTTTTGGGGTAGATACAAAATCAAGTTTCCAGCCAAAGTCTTCTTCGAAATCATCGAGAATATCCAGGAGCCAGAAGCCAGTAGACAGTAGGAAGGCGCTTTTTGGTCAATGACTGTCTCTGCGGAGGGAGCACTCTCCAGTCGCCACTCGCCACTCTCCACTATCCCCTCCCCTCTGACTGAAACATCATCATCATCATTCATTTTTCATGGCTGAGTGCCTGGCAGGCAGTTGGCTCTGATTGTTTACAGCTGCCGTAGGTACAAGTTGAGATCTAAACGGGTTTCGTACCTCCAGACGCAGACGCAGGCACACAGCTGTTTGCTGTAGATCCAGAAACTTAATATTCCCCACAACACAGGATGCAGACGACAGACGACAAGCGACTGACCGACAGACACTCAAGTGGCTTGGCCAGTCCAAGGAGTCACTGAGCCCAGGCACAGACCAGGGCACAGACCAGGTCCCAGGCGGGTGCGGTTTGACCTAAAACGTTCCTCGAAGAACACGTCTGCCGCCTGACAGACGCGACGCGACGCTTCGTATCCGATAAAATGATGAAATTCTCTCTTGGCCCAAAGCTTGTCTTTGGTCTTTGTTTTTTTTTTTTTTTTTTTTTCGCCAGAGTTCTCTTTCTTCTTGGGGCCTGGTTTTTTAGTACTGTTGCAACTCATTATTTTGCGGTTGAGGCAACAACTTTTGTTGTGGCTTTCAAGTGCATAAATATCTCCTCCTTTTTAAACGGTAAATGATATACGCTGTTGTTGGGGCTGCAGTTGTTACTGATGCTGTTGTCATGGGCATAATCTCTGAGGCATTAATACCACTCCAGTCCAGTCTCAATACGAAGAAGTCTGAGTCTCAGATCTCTCCCGCGATAAGCGCTGAAAGGCGGTTGCTGGTGGGAGGGGGTTCTTGTGCGGGTGGGTGATGAAATGCGATGATTCTTTTTGCGGTCAGCGCAGAAGAAGGAGAACGAGGAGTAGGAGAATCGGAAGACTAACGGAACACCCGCTTCGTGTATAATTTATGG